CCTGTTTACTCTTATTTACCTAATACTTGCCAAGCCATGCTAACTTAATGTTCCCCTGAATATACCTTGGAAAGAGTCGAGTTAATGTATCATATCTCTCCTGAAAGAAGTAGGTGTAAAGATGGGGATTTTATTCTTATGGTAAGCCAATCAAGGCTATTGCTGGCAGATGATTCACTTACTACCTCTCAAATCAGTTTTCATAGAAAGCTACCTCTTTTGTCTAAGCACAGGATATGATGCTGAAGGCCAACCCAATCTCTCCTTTCTTCATTGGCCAATCACAAGTTTGTCAAGAATATGTTGCCTGCCAAAAGCTGTGTTGACTTAACTCGGGTCTAAAAATAACTCCTGACCATATGTGGTTTAATCTCAATTCTTCGCCACCATCTAGCATCTGTCTTCATCAATTAGAAGATGTTACTTAGTTGTAATGACTTCATATTAAGATGTACTGGTCTGTCATGAAAAGAAGCCATGCAAATAATCACAATCCCTGCTTGCTTTTTCAAGTTATGCAGAAATTTTGCCAGCATTAAATGTTCCATCACAATATTTGGCAAATGCAGACTGGCATTCATACACTTTAAATTTTAACAGATTCGGGGGGGCGGGGAATGGCTCCAAACTAACCATTGCAGCCTTTGAGAAAGAAAAAGCAAAGCTCTTAAGCAAATGTTTAAGATAACATTTGCGCTATAAATCAGATTTACTTCCCAAAAGCAGTGTGCTACATGGAGAACACTACATTAGTGTTTTGTACAAATGAATCTTAACTCCTATTTAACTCTACAAGGAACAGCTTGAGAACATGGATTCTACTACTTAGATATAAATTAATAAAGTCTGCTTTTATGAGTATTTCAGCCAGTCAAGAATCAAGCTGATTCCCATGGTATCATGACAGAATAGATACAGATATTCTTCACTTGACAGTTTGGAATGGAATTTCCTTTCTCTTTTCATGAATTCAAATGTTAAGTATCTAAGAGAATCACTTTCAAGATGTAGGTTCAAGTTCAGCCTCCGGCCTGTACCAAACAAGCAAAAACATTATTCTTTCTGCTCAGGGGATGAACTGGCAGTGTCAACAAACATCTGTCCCTAAACTGCTAATCTAACCAAATAAATCCTCACTTGCCAGTTCTACCACAGAAAGAGGCATTTTGTGTTTGTGTTTTTTGCTGGGGCTCTTGTATTATGATAACTAAACCCTCAGAAACTGGCTTGTTAGCGTGTGTGCACGTGTGCCCCAGTACAGGCACACCTGAACACACAAGCTGAGGCCAGAATCCAAGGTCTTGCACGTACTAACTAGGTAAGCATTCTCCTAGACCACTACACTTGTTTTAAAGTTTAGAAAATAATCCAGTTAGCCAGTTGTGGAGGCACACACCTGTAATCCCAGCACTCGGGAGGCTGAGGCAGGAGAATCGTTATGCCTGGGCTATAAGTGAGTTCAAGGCCAGCCTGAACTGCATAGCAAAACCTTATCTCAAAAAAAAAAAAAAAAAGAATTAAAGAATAATAATCCAGATTAAAAAAATTAATAAACTTGATGCCTCTCTTCTGCTGGAAAATGAAATGAACACAAAAGCTTCAGTCAAGTAAACAAATTTGTTAAATGTTTTCCAAAACAGAATAAAAAACATTACTTCATGCTGGACATGGTGGCACATGGATGTAATCCCAGCACTCTGGGAAGCTGAGGCAGAAGGACCACAAGTTCAAGCCCAGCTCTAGCAATTTAGCAAGACCCTGCTTCAAAATTTAAAACAATAAAAAAAAAAAGCTAGGGATGTAATTCAGTGTGAAGGCCCTGGGTTCAGTCCCTAGGATTGAATTTTTTAAAAATGCTACTTTAAATAAACCCAAAAAGGCATCTTTGTTGGAAGCAGCTTATCTGTCCAAAAACAGAAGAATGGATGAAGAAAATGTATTTACACACAGGGGAGTACTACTCTGCCATAAAGAAAGATAAACTTGAGTCATTTATAGGAAAATGGATGTACCTTGAGACCACAATGTTAAGTGAAATAAATCAGACACACAGGCTTAAACACCACCGGATTTCTCAAAATATAAATAAAGAGCAAAATAAAAGACAGATAACAGGCGGAGTGAGGAGGTCGGGAAGGGAGGCGTAACATGAAAAATTGAGATGTGTTACGTACATGGACCGACTGCACACGATGAATGTGGTCACAGTGTACTGCAAACAGGTACTCAGAAACATCTTTAAGGCTCTTCTTCTCTTTCAGAAGCAGTGAGGAAATTTATGCATTTTAATAACCTACACATTCTCTGACTTCGTCACACACTCTTCGATAACCGATTCCCGTGGCGCTAGTACCCCTTCACTCTTTCTCCCAGACTTTCAGAACCACTCTCACTGCCGTGCACAGCTCTATGCCTTCCTTAACTCCCAAGTCTCCATTCCTCACCAGCAAGGAGTAGCTTGTGCTCAAACCACAGAACCTGGCTCACCTGGAGTGTACAGGTGACTGCGCGCGCGCGCACACACACACACACACACACACACACACACACACTGAAGGAACCTATTTCCATCTCAGAGTAGGTATGCATATTCCTTTCTCTTAAAAACATTTAACAGGAATTTGAAAGCCACTAAAAATGATGACTATTTAATTGTATCCCAAACCTCCTACGAGTACACAAGTACCATCAAATTTATATACTGATCAGACATTTACTAACAGCAGGCAGGTTTCTAGTTTATTTACTCCTTAGGAAAGGTAGTGGAGGGGGAAATGGTGCCTTTAGGTTTTTCATTGGTTCATAACAGTTGGCTCATAATAGTTTATTTTTACTTCTTAAAAGGCAAGATAATGAGCCAGGGATATAGCCCACTGGCATAATGCGTGCCTGGCAAGTGCAAGGTCCTGAGTTCGATTCCTGCTACCCCAAAATAAATAAATAAATAGTAATGATAGACACCTGTAAGTGCAGCAACTCAGGAAGCTAAGAGGGGAGGACCCCAAGTTTAAGGTCAGTGTAGAACATTTAGTGAGACACTACGTCAAAATAAATTCAAAAGGGCTGGAATGTAGCTCAGTGGCAGAGCACTAGCACCAGCACTAATGCTCTGCCACTGGGTCCTACCCTCAGTAGTGCAAAAAAAAAAAAAAAGAAAGAGGATAGATATTTTGTACTCTAGTACTTGTAGATAGATATTTTGTACTCTAGTATTTTGTACTCTAGTGTTTGTACCCCAAACACTAATACCAAGACTTACAGGTTCTTTCATCTAACAAGGAACTGTACAGAATGTACTAAATAACAATGCTGAGTTTGTAAGATATATTAATTGTATGTATACATATATGCGATTCCTTTTCTCCATAAGGTTGCTGGGTAAATTCCCATAATATATATTATTTCATAGCGGACCTTCAGGCCTGCTGTGTGCCATACTTGCTGGAGACAGTCTTGACCTCATAGAGCTTGCAGTCTGCAAGAGGGATTTGCAAATCTTGATGTTTACTCCCATACCCAGATATTCAAGCAAAAGAATCTGAGTTTTCATTTTCAAAAGCACATCACATTCTTACAGTAATTTCACTTTATAATTTTATTTCTAAACTTGAAACAAGACTAAAGTTAAACACAGCTTTCATATCCTTGAAATATAAGTGAAACAAACTCTGGAGTGCAATCTACACAAAGTAGAATAACAGAGTTCTAATTAAGCAGGCAGCAAAAGAATCACAAATATTTAGATTAGCTCTAACTGCTTGGGCTGTCTTGGCAATGGTTATTTTTCTTAGCTGAAAATGAGTCCTCGCATTTAATTTTTTTCTTTATTTTCAGATAGCAGTATGACACTGGAATATATCGTATTAAATGCATTCTAGGATTGATTTTAGGATTTTGACAGCAAACTTATTCAAACCTTGTGCTTACATTACTTGAAGGAAAGAAACATTTTCTGAAGATGTTATTGGTCTACATTTAAAGATGAAAATGTCTCTCCTGGTCACTTTTGGTTCTCATATATGGTTATAAAACAACCCTGGCCCTGCCCTGAGAATTAGCCTGTATTTCTTGCTTTTTTGTGTGTCATTAAAAAAAAAAAAAAAAAAAAAGATAGCATTCCATGTTGACATTATTAGCCCAGATTACTTCAGCAGTACCTTTGCTGTCAGAAAGATCAGGCCTATATAGTTTCCAAAGAGCAGAAATTTAACAACAAAAAAGCCCCAAACACACGTTTTTAACACTTCTTTATTAATACTAAATGTATCACATTTAACATGAATTAAAACATCCCTTCACACGCTCAAAAGCAAGATGCACAAGATGGGTATTTTTTATTTGGAAAAAAATCCGGTCACAAACTATTCATCTCAAAGCAGAGAAAATGGAATATTCCTTTCCCCTTGGAAAGGCGCTATAGAGTTTCAAACTGTGAACGCTCGTCGGGGACCGCGCGTCCTCCTTGGGAGGAGGGTCTGCGCGTCCGCACCCCGACCCCGCTGGGCAACACGCTCCAAATTCCCGAGCGCGCAGCAGCCAGTGCGGATCGGCACACCCAGGCAGCGATGGGTGCGCAGAGCCCACAGCGCCCGCTACGCTCATCTTCTGGAAATCAGGAAACAAATGATACATTTCCTCCAGAACCCCACTTCTGCACCCAGTCTCCCCACTCGGGGCTGCGGGCGGCCGGCACCAACCCAGGGCTCGCAGCGCTTCCCTCCGCGGCTCACACCGCAGCGGGTGCGCGCCGCGCCCCGGCGCCCCGGGAATTGCTCGCTCGCTTCTCCCCCGGCCTCTCTCGCCCGACTCCCCAGGGCTCGCGGTGAGCGTGGGGGGCAGAGGCTGGGTCCCCGCGATCCGCAGCGCTCCGGTCGGATTCCTCCCCGTTCCCCGTCCTCCTAGCAGCCGCCACCTCCCACCCCGAGACCGTTCCCCAGCAGGTCCCCCGGGCCCATCCTCCCGTCCGGGACGCCCCGGGGCTGGGGGGGCTGCGTCCTTACCGGGCTCGTGGACGCCGGGGTTGTCGGACAGCTCGATGACCAGCAGCTCGCGGCCCTCGAAGCTGCGCCCCACCGTGTAGATGCGGCTGACGGCGGTGCACTGCAGCCACACGGACACCAGCGCCTCGCGCAGCTCGGGGTAGCGGTGGTACTCGAAGGAGATGCCGTCCTCCTGCTGCAGCCGCCGGCGCCTCCGCACGCCCGCCGCGGGCTCCCCGGGCTCCTGCGCC